TACATTACTAATATACATCTCCCTGCCACTTGGTACATTTTCCATCAATCTGTCTAATACCTTACATTTAGTACTACTTCTATCAGCATGTGTAGCATTAGTAGAAGATACATTCAAAGATGCTTAGATCAAAATGACTTCAATGGTAATGATCATTGTACTTCATCGCCTGGTGGTCACTGCAAACATCTTCATAGACTGGATAGAAAGACATGCAATTGAAGAAAAACTTCAAAGTCTGGCTGCAAAAACTGTAAATTTATAATTAGATTACAAAATTATTTTTGTTCCAGCTACTGCATCATACAGTACTCAATGGAAACCATTTGTGACCATACAGAGTAGTCGTTTCGCTCAGCTCAATAAGCTGCATTCAGACACATTAGCATAATTAACACTGGTCTATGGTTCAATACAACATCATCTTTCAACAGCGAATCACATCTTGGTGCTGTTACAAATACCAATAAATAAAATGAACAAACAGCGGAATCACTGCTTTCATTAACTCATCATAAATACACTCATGGGTTAGCAGCTCACATCTGCTTAGGTAGTGACAATCCTTCTTGCATAACATCTGTACAGGTACAGTGTGGCTGATATTATTACATGCACATGGTATTTTAAGAAATTATATGCACATAAAACATGATTACAGAATTACATTTCTATGTAACTGTTGAGGTGATACAACTAAAATTTCAGTACATGTATTACTGCAATAAGTAGAGAGAGAATTGTCCCATATCACACAGGTAGTGATGAGATCTTCTTGACATTCACAAAGAATGGGGCTGACAGGCTTCCAGGCTACACATACATACTGTATCTCACTGAAACACCACTTTACTTAGTAGGTTATTCTATGGAGAGAAAATATAGACATGTGATTCAATGCAATGTGATGATTGTTGAAAGGAAAAAACAACATAGTCACTCCACTCCCCAAGGCAATTGTATATGCCTCTCCAGATAACTATACGTGTCCTAAAGAGGAAGTCATGCTGATTTCCTGAAATTCAGCTGGCGTAGGTCCTATGTGACGTTTTTTCAATGAAATACACTTATTTCATGAGACAGGAAGGGGCATATAGTCTGGTACTTTCTGTGGCTAAATATGCATAATTAATATTCCCCCAAATTTATCGCAGTCATATTTACCAAGTTTTCATTTTCATTCATAAAGAGTTAACCTTCTCATCACCAGTTTTATCTCTTTTCATCACAAATTCACAAAATAGTTCTGTTTACCGATATACTTTGCACTTTCTTTCAGAAGAGTGGTACAAATATAGCCAAATTGTTCGAGTAAAAACTGAAAATTGGCTCAAATTTTATCCGTTGGCTTCAAAATTAGGGTTCATTTCCAGAAATATTTAAAAATATAAGAACAAAATTTGGATGAGAAACTCTGTCTGGCAAAAGGGTTAACATGGCAACAATTGAGGAGTAAATCAGAAATTATTACATTTATAGGTCGACAATACCTCTAATCAGCTACAAAGAATAATGGTAGCCACTTTTAAACAGTATGACAACTAACCTTAACGATGGATTCAACCGTCTTCCTAGTCAGTCCATTTACACGTTGGAGCTCTTCAATCTGTAGTAAGTAAATAGGCACAAGATACAAGTAAACACAATATGTTCTCTCTAGAAAAATGGAAGTATTGTTTTCCTATGTGTTTTTTGTAATACATCGTACCAATGTGATCCATAATAGGCAAGTGGTTAGGGTTTCATTTCTGAATTTTTTGAATGGTTTTATTTAGACTAATATCTAAATTTTCATTGTGGTTTCAGACCATTTAACCAAAGACTATAGTTCTCTATAGTCTTTGATTTAACTGAATCTTGTCTTGCAGCATGTCAGTGACGCAAACACTATCATATATGAGAAATGATAAAAAACAAGTCATTGAAAATGACACAGTCCCCATTAAATTTTTGAAAGTTCTCTTTGTGCTCGTCTTATTAAAGCGGAGGGGTTGTCGCGAGCGTGTCCTTGAAACTTGAGTTCCAAGTGGCGTATACAACAGATTGTTTATTTACATCAAAACCGTGTTCCGTGTAGTAGTAATATGGCCAAAAATAAAAACAGCCGTTATTTGGCCATCTTTGATCTGATTATGAAACACACTGATATGTATGATGTACGTGCCAAATAAAAATAAAAATGGTACATAAATTGTGGAAATATAGTAGTAAGGCCAAAAAGTCAGATGGCTGTCAATTGGCCATCTTTGACCAGATTTTGAAACAAATTGTCATGGACATGCATCCTAACATGTTTACAGTACATGTATGTGCCAAATTTGAATGAAAACTGACAGAGCACGTCCAAGATACCGTATAAAAAAAAAACAAGATGCCTGCCAGTCGACCATCTTTGATCCAATTGCAAAATAAACCGTCATGGACATGTATAATCTATGTACCCAGTTTGAATGACAACTGACAAAGCATGTCCAAAATACAACATTTTCAAAAAACAAGATGGCTGCCAGCCGGCCATTTTGAATCGAATCGCTAAACCACTGCATGTGCATATGTCCCAAATAAGGTACTAGGCACATGCAAAGAATGAACGGAATCGGTCCACAGGATTCTGAAATATGACTCTGGACAGAATGACGCACGGACGGACACACGGACGGACCGACGGACAGACTCAGGAACTCACAGACGATCAGGGACATGTATCCTAACATGTAAGATCTATGTACTAAATTTTAATAAAAACTGACAAAGCATGTCCAAAAAACGACATTTTTAAAAAACAAGATGGCTGCCAGTCGGCCATCTTTGATTCAATTGTGAAATAAATCGTCATGGACATGTATCCTAACATGTATAATCTATGTACCAAGTTTGAATGAAAACTGACAAAGCATGTCCAAAATACAACATTTTCAAAAAACAAGATGGCTGCCAGTCGGCCATCTTTGATTCAATTGTGAAATAAATCGTCATGGACATGTATCCTAACATGTATAATCTATGTATCAAGTTTGAATACAAACTGACAAAGCATGTCCAAAATACAACATTTTTAAAAAACAAGATGGCTGCCAGTCGGCCATTTTGAATTGAATCGCTAAACAACTGCATGTGCATATGTCCCACATAAAGTACTAGGCACATGCAAAAAATGAACGGTATCGGTCCAAGGGATTCTGAGATATGACTCCGGACGGACGGACGCACGGACGGAGACCAAATTATAAGTCCTCGTTTTCGGACTTCGTCCGAACGGGGACTAAAAACGATTTACTGTAGTATATAAACTTACAGATCTAAACTGTCCATTAAGTTGCCTCCAGTCATATATAAGTTTAGCTCTCTTTTCACCAATACTCTGTAACGACTTCAACTGTTTTACTGTACCACTGTTAATTACATTTAATATTTCAGCATCTGTAATGAAACAATTAATTAAGGTAGCGAGAAGAGTATTGTGACGTTTTTAAATAAAACATTCCCTGTCTGTTGTCTCGTTCAGAACAGTAATTTAGGTTATATATATCAAAAGACTAAGTATAGAGATACAAGTTTGCACAAACTGGACAGTCATTGAATACATAATTATCACGTGACATCAAAAATGGCGAACCTTGTAAAAATGACTAAGTCCGCGATTGCGAGAGCACACTGTGGAATTTCCTGGTGAAATTTACATCATGCATTGTCCGTAATCAAGTCCATTGAAATGCGTCTCCGATAATCAAAAGAGCTATTATTCCGATTTCTATGCAGGTTTGTTTTATTGTCTTAAATTATTTCATACTTGGCATCTTTAACAGACTATTATTCTGTGACAAAGCATTTTCTATAAAAACCCAGACATATTTCGCACCATCATTATCTTTTGAACGATAACTGCGAGTTTGAATGTCCTAGTCCAAAC